GATCCTGCCCCTGTACTCGGCTTTGGGGAGGCTTCACCTCGAGCGCTGTGTCCGGTTTCAGGCCCCTCACTGCAAGAGAGGGTACAAACTGATTTGGAACATCTGTCCTGTGAGAAGTGGCTGAGGGATCTGGGCCTGTTCAGCCTTGAGAAGAAGAGATTGAGGAGAGACCTCACTGCTCTCTACAGCTACTTGAAAGGAGGGTGTAGCGAGGCGGGAGTTGGTCTGTTCTCCCTCATGGAGAGTGATGAGATGAGGGGAAATGGCCTCAAGTTGCACCAGGAGAGGTTCAGGTTGGATATTAGGAAGGATTTCTTTACTGGGAGGGTTGTCAGCCGTTGGAACAGGCTGCCCAGGGAGGGTTTGGGTCACTGTCCCTGGAGGGGTTTAAGAGGTGGGTGAGTGTTGCGCTGAAGGACACGCTTTAGCGGTGTTCATAGGGCTGGGGAAAGGTTGGACTCGATCTTGAAGTTCTTTCCCAGCCGAAACTGTACGACGATTCCGTGATTTCCAACTCACAGTAAGATTTCTATAATATTTACAAAGCAAATCCTCTCCTGCCCTGCCTCACCGGTGAGACCCTGCTGGTGATAGAATGCAAGAAATAACCATTAGGTGACTTTAGACCTTCCTGTCAAGAGGGATGGGGTAAAGATGACACAAGTGCGTGGCCCTGTTTTAGTCCAGTTGGATTTACTGTCTTCCAACTACACCAGCAAAACGTGGGACTGGAGATGCTGAAGCATTTTGCTATTTATGGGCTTCAGGCGTTTGGATTTAGGAGATTTTACATCTCTAATTAGGTAAATGCATGGTTCAGTCATTTTAAGAAAAGACAGGGGAGACTGAAACCCTTCCACAACAATAAGAATGACATTCTTTACTCCTATTACTTCTGACATTCCAAATTCCAAGAAAGGTTGGGTTGCAATCCAACCCTGTATTCATTTGGAGAGCTGGTGAATCTGTGGTAGGAATTTATTTCTATCGACACGCCTGAATCCTTTTTTTTTTTTTCCCCTAATTGTTAGTGACAAAAGAGCTAATTGGGGAATGGATTTATTCCCGGTATATTAAAAATCAGTAGAAAAATAATACAGGAAAACAATAGATGACCCTACTTCTGCACCCCGAGCTAAAACTGGACTTGAGCAGGGGAGGGTAACTCCTCTTGTTGACGAGTCGTCAAGGGCCGTAGCTTGGAAAAGCTGGTTAATTTTTAAGGAAGTAAGTCGTGGGCATCTGGCACTGAAATGTCAGCACAACAACTTAGAGGAAAAACAACCCGCTGGTTTCTTAAGCGCCGAGGGCTTCCAGCAAGTCGGTGTTCAGCTCCTGCTGGTTACATAAAATAATCGGTTGTACAGCCCTGCTTGTGCTTCGCTTCCCACTGCTCCGCTCTGTTTGCAGCTGAGTCGGGGAGGCAGGGATGTTGCTCTTCTCCTACCCCCACCTGCATTTCGCCTGTTTAATTTGGAAACGTCAGTAAAGCAAACGGGAGGTTATGGAAATCCTGACTTCGCCAGCTCCACCGAAAACCCCTTGTTTGTTCCTTCACCGTCTGTCTTCTTCTTGTCGCAAGGTGGCAGCCACGGGCTGCCTTCTAACCTCTGGGGTTTTTTTTTTCTGCTCATATGGTGGAAACGCTGCTTTATTTATTTATTTATCCATCTAGCTCTCTGTTTGTTTGTTTATCTATCTCTATTTATTTATTTATTTCATTTTTTCCTCTGTTTTTCTTTTTTTTCCCTTTTTTTTTTTTTCTCTCTTCCAAAAAATCTGTGGGAGGAAAAAGTCTATATTACTCTTTGTCTCTATGTACATGTAAAAAAAAAAGTATTTTCACAGAGCCAATATTGACTGAGAGGCTTACAGGAGAAATATCTGCGCAGCGGAGATACCTCTGTCTTGATGAACTGGCTCAGAACATTCTCTGCCCTCGGTTCAGCTCAGAGACGTGAACATTCCCACAATTCCCATATTCTCATCTGGATCCTGTCTCTTTATACTGATCCTGCCTTAAAATTGGGCGTGTTGAATGTTTGGTGAAGTAAATAATAAAAAACCCCACAAAAACAACACTCCATACCTTATCCAAAGAGTTTTGGATTGATTCCACTTAGGAGAGGAATTTATGAAGAGTTTTATACACTCCAGCTTATCTGAAAGCATTTTTAGCTGCTTTACTTGACTTTTCAAACTGTATTTTTTTGGACCAAGCCATATGGATGTTTAAATACTCAGCGCAGAGGTTTGGTTTGTAGCAGAGGTTCTTGTGCTGGATCAAACCAGTGGGTTTTCTAACCAGTAACATCCTCAATATTGATAACAGCTACCCAGGCTTAAAAAATGCAAGATATCCTACAGTGGGTCTTTAGGATAACGATCGAGGGCAGCGCTCTCAAAGTTTTATCGCTGAAAAGTGTCATTCAGAGATTTTTAGCCCTCTTGAGGTTGTTGGTTTTTTCCTTCTTCCCCCCGTGACCGAGAATTGTCATTATTCTGAATTCCCAGCACTTTTGTTTTAGAGGTTTGGTAGTTTCTTGTCCTCAACGTGGTGGCAGCGTAACGCAAATGAAACAAAATGGCTTTTTAAATTTTTCTGTCTTTCTGTTCAATTCTCTCCCATCTTTTTTTAAATATTTTTAAACTAGAACCTGGGAAGCCCCAGGTCTTTTCCTCATCCCACTCTTTTTGTGTGTCTTTGTGATGTCTCCTTCCTGTCCTTCCCTCAGTGGGATTAATGGAGCGCAGTGAATCAATTCCTTGGGTTTAATGAAATAATTAACATATGGGGACGCTCAGCTGATAAGAAACACAAAAAAATCTCATCTGGCTACTTGCTGCTGTAGGAAGGTCTGTCATTCCCTGCCTACTTTATCCTCTGAGGGGGGCAATAACAGTAATTTTCCCCCAAGCAGCATTTTTTGGTGCCTCCCAGCACAAGGTAACGCA